GCTGCCTGCTGCTGCCTGCTGCTGCCTCTGCTGGTGTCTGCTGCTGCCTGCTGCTGCCTGCTGCTGCCTGCTGCTGCCTGCTGCTACCTGCTCCTGCCTGCTGCTGCCTGCCCGCTGCTCCTTGCTGCTGCCTGCTGCTGGTGCTGCTGCTGGTGGCTGCTGCTGCTGCTGTGGTGCTGCTGCAATCAAACAGCCTCCAAAGCAAGAAACAAACAGCCAGACACCCTTTTCGAAACACATCCGAAACAGCAAAACACCACCTAATTTCGTGCCCAAAACGTAGCAAAGGAACCCCAAAAAAGGGCCTAACGTCACTTCTGAAACCCTACTATAAAATTGCAACTTTGCCGCTGCCTGCCGCTGCCTGCTGCTGCCTGCTGCTGCCTCTGCCGCTGCCTGCTGCTGCCTGCTGCTGCCTCTGCTGGTGTCTGCTGCTGCCTGCTGCTGCCTGCTGCTACCTGCTGCTGCCTGCTGCTGCCTGCCTGCTGCTCCCTGCTGCTGCCTGCTGCTGGTGCTGCTGCTGGTGGCTGCTGCTGCTGCTGTGGTGCTGCTGCAATCAAACAGCCTCCAAAGCAAGAAACAAACAGCCAGACACCCTTTTCGAAACACATCCGAAACAGCAAAACACCACCTAATTTCGTGCCCAAAACGTAGCAAAGGAACCCCAAAAAAGGGCCTAACGTCACTTCTGAAACCCTACTATAAAATTGCAACTTTGCCGCTGCCTGCCGCTGCCTGCCGCTGCCTGCTGCTGCCTGCTGCTGCTTGCTGCTGCTGCTGCTGTCTGCTGGTGCTGCGCTGCCTGCTGCTGCCTCTGCTGGTGTCTGCTGCTGCCTGCTGCTGCCTGCTGCTGCCTGCAGCTGCCTGCGGCTGCCTGCGGCTGCCTGCCTGCCTGCTGCTCCCTGCTGCTGCCTGCTGCTGGTGCTGCTGCTGGTGGCTGCTGCTGCTGCTGCTGCTGTGGTGCTGCTGCAATCAAACAGCCTCCAAAGCAAGAAACAAACAGCCAGACACCCTTTTCGAAACACATCCGAAACAGCAAAACACCACCTAATTTCGTGCCCAAAACGTAGCAAAGGAACCCCAAAAAAGGGCCTAACGTCACGTCTGAAACCCTACTTAAAATTGCAACTTTGCCGCTGCCTGCCGCTGCCTGCCGCTGCCTGCTTGCTGCTGCCTGCTGCTGCCTCTGCTGGTGTCTGCTGCTGCCTGCTGCTGCCTGCTGCTACCTGCTGCTGCCTGCTGCTACCTGCGGCTGCCTGCCTGCTGCTCCCTGCTGCTGCCTGCTGCTGGTGCTGCTGCTGGTGGCTGCTGCTGCTGCTGTGGTGTTGCTGTGGTGCTGCTGCAATCAAACAGCCTCCAAAGCAAGAAACAAACAGCCAGACACCCTTTTCGAAACACATCCGAAACAGCAAAACACCACCTATTCTTGTTGTTGTTGTTGTTGCTGTTGCTGTTGCTCTTGCTGTTGCTGCCATAAAATAAAATTAAAATAGAATCCTGTTGCCTGCTGCCTGCTGCTGCCTGCTGCTCCTGCCTGCTGCTGGCTGCTGCTCCTGCCTGCTGCTGGCTGCTGCCTGCTCCTGCCTGCTGCTGGCTGTTGCTGGCTGCTGCTGGCTGCTGCTGGCTGCTGCTGGCTGCCTAACGCCGGCTGCTGCTGGTTGCTGCTGCCGGATGCTGCCTGCCAGACACCTACTGCTGCCTGCTGCTGGCTGCTGCTGGCTGGTGCGGGCTGCTGCTGGCTGCTGCTGGCTGCTGCTGGCTGCTACCTGCTGCCTGCTGCTGCCTGCTGCTGCCTAGTAGTAAAAGTAGCAGTGCAGTACCTCTTCTTCCCTTACGCGCTCCCCCTTGCATCGGCCGGGGTCAGCGAATTATTATTATTCTTTCCTGGCAGCTGTATGCTCCCCCTTGCATCGGCCGGGGTCAGCGAATTATTATTATTTCTTTCCTGGCAGCTGTGTCATAAACTCTTTTTCCCTTACGCACTCCCCCTTGCGTCTGCAGGGGTCGGCGGATATATGAATGGGATTGAATGGGGATGACACACACGTATATATATATATATATATACATCTCTTTATCATATCTTTACATATATTAATATAATATATATATATATATTCAATTACATGTGACACACATATATTGCCAACTCAATAAGATATTCCGCTGTGCTTGAGAATTTGGGCATCTCCCTAAAATGGCCTTGTTCAATCCTTTTGATCGTGGAACATTGTGAGAAACAATATGATGGTTCCAAATTTGGAGACAAACCGATGTCAGTGGAACATTAAAACACTGAGGAATCCTGGCTAGACACTATTTTTGGCAAGGTCGGCAGCGTATCTAACATTGGCCATATTCACCGATTATGAGAGAATGTCCCTATTTAAGTTTGGACTTTCCATTGTGGTGGCTGGGTTTCACCAGGAGAAGACTTGTTATTTTTGTTAACCAGCACTCAGCAATCATGCTAGCTCAAGGTTTGCCCACGTGAAATTCACCACATAAACCCTGGAGAAAAATGGGACAGATACCGTGAAGTAACGTAACAACCACCTATAGTTCCCAGAAATGGTTGAAATTGAAGGGAAAATCTGCAGGAAACCTTCATATTTGGAGCTAAAAGCCATGATTTCCTGTAGAAAAAAGTCCTCGAAGCAATCCATTGAACAGTTCGTTCTCTACATGCGTATGGTCTGTTGAACATGGGGTACCTCAAAATCCTATGGGTGATGATCATTTTACAACGTTTTCCATGTTGCACTTGCCATGTTGGGATATCCCCACATTTTTGAACCAACTCATATAATATGTTGTTTACATCTACCTTCGTTGATGCTCCATTGACTCATAAAATGGCTAAATGAGCAAACATATGGGGCAAGTCCTATTTCTATAGGTCCTTGATTAAATATAGTTTCTTCAATCAGCATATCCCGAACAAAGTGGTCCCTCCTACTTAGCTAAGATGGCGTGTAAGTCAACCAGGTCCAGGATTCGAAATATGTCGAACTAGTTGGATTAGTTCCATGGGTGTATGCTCCAACTTAGCTAACTGTCAGGCACCACCTTGTAGTTTTATCGGTATTCCCATTATATCCGCACATATTGACCAATTCCTATTTCTCAGGGTGAAGTCACTATTGCGTTACAGTCTTACCATTTTTTGATCATTCAATGACCATTCCAGGAATGGTTAAATCACCACTTGAGCTGGTAGAACCAGGAGCCAGGTAGAACCACAAAAATGGTAAGATTCTAATTAGATCAAATGATCATTACAGGATCTACCGTCTTTTATGATCACTCCTGATGGTTAAATTACATTAAATTACCACTACTGCTGCTGAACCCCCCCATGTTTTTACAAGATCCCTGGCCATCGCCATCAGTCCCCATTCAGTCGCCATCAGGCCATCCGCTGCGATGGCACAGTGGTGACTTGGGGCCATCCCAACTGCGGCGGCAACTGTCGCAAGGTGCAGGCGCAGCTGCAGGAGGTGTGGCACATTTGCCCCGGCAATGTGCCACCGTGGCGTGGCGAAACAAATCTGGGATTTCATGGAAGTTGAGATTTCATGTGATTTCATAGGATGATGTGGGATATAAATGGGATATAAATGGGATATAAATGGGATTGAATGGGATTGCGATTTAAAGAGACTTGAGAAAATTTAATGGGGAATGGGAGTTGATGTGTGGAATGATTGGAAGTAGCAACCTCATTTCAATTTTTGAAAAAATGACCATAACAGCCACACAAAAAAGTGGGATCGGGAAAAGATGGGGTTCTGTACGGTGAAGCCAGGATTTTAACTTACAAAGGTTGAATTTTGAGGTGATACAACCAATAACAAACTGAGTTTCAATCAAAAAAGGAGATTTTAATGTAACATATATATATATACACATATACACACACACACATATATATATATATATGCACACAACAAGTTGGATTGTAAAGTCTACGGCTATGGTTCACCGTGTGCCCGGGTCCGCGGGCCCGCACGGTATGGGCTCAAGGATTTGGAGCCCGCGGGGGGCCCGTAGGGCCCGCGAAGCCCGTAGGGCCCGCGGAGCCCGTAGAGCCCGCGAAGGTCGGAAGCTGAGTTGCGGTTGTTTTGACTTTTGCTTACCTGGAGCACCCGAACATCAAAATTGGTCTTACACCCCCAAAAAAAGGCACCAAGATATTCCCTCAACAAATTGGGAGCCAAATAATATCACCCAAAAAATGGGTTTTGGGTCGTATCGTTCGGGATCGATTTCAAGAATGGGAATGATGAAGAAACAACATGACAAGAACTATATGCAAAAAGCAGTGTCATGAATTGCCCCAAAATCATGGAACATGATAGCTTCAAAAAACACCATTTAATGACTAGATATAGAACAGTTTACTGTTTATTTTTCCCAACGATGACATGTAGCATGTGATCATGGGATGTTTTCAACCACGGCAAAAGTTGCATCTGCAGAGGCATCCTTGGGAAACTTGCGGAACTTGCCAGATGAGACCGGTGTGTGGGCAGCTCAGACGCAGTGTTAAGGTTGGCAACGGACTGAAGAGGTGCCTTTTTCAGCATGGCTTTGTATCGTCTTTTCTCCATCCATGAGATACGAGTTCACCAGGGTGTGAAATGATGATGTCTAATGCCTCGAAACACTTAGGGCATCCATTGTTGATTGAACATTTTTTTGCGGGCATTTGGTGGCCCCTTTCAAATCCACTGTCTTGTTACATCCATATGCTCATCGTGCCCGTGACAAGTGACAAAGGCAATGTGCCCTCAAGATGCGGCTCCAGATTGGACCGTCAGAAAAAAAGTATTAAACCTAACTGCTGTGATTTGACACTTTCCAACGCAACCACATGCGCAAGTTTGATGTCCAACAAATCACTTCAGCAGCTACAACACTTTCATTGAATAAACATGTTGACTGACGTTCACTCAAAGCCGTCAGTGATCATTGATCCTGACAAACGGTGCGGCGTG